GAGGTGACCTGCGCAGCCTGTGAGCGGCTTATTTCTGCACGCACTGCGTGAACCACTGCCGTATTTTGTGTATATAGAAATATCGTTATATGTCATTTCTTTTGTTTTTTTTTATTTTTATTTTTTTAACTAAGAACAGATCAGACCACATACTCACCTAGAAATAAAGAACCCCAAATTATATATACTAGCCCTTAAGTGTCCTGTGCTAATTATTCTTTACCAGGCTACACAATTTTGGTACCAGGAGTGGGGTGAGACGCTGTCCATGTCCCTGCCACATCAGTAGCTACTGTCTTAGCTAAAAGGCTCAGACCCATGAGAGAGGGCAATGTAAAAATTCTGTTGGAGCCTTTGAATGTGCCTTTGCCGGGTGGCCTGATTGTCATGCCTATGCTTGTGTCCTCTCACAGTCATATGGTGCAAGTACAAGTCATAAACTTCTCACAGGAAGATGTTTGGCTCAGGCCAAGAACCAAGTTAGGTATTCTGTCCCCAGTCAAGCAGACGGACAGTATCCAGCAGTGTGCATTTTCAGCGTGTATCTGCTAGTGTTGAGCAAGTTACTGTAAGCAGAAAGATATCACTGCCATCGGAAAACAGTTTACAACAGATACTAGATAAACTTGATGTGGGTGGGATCCCCGAACAACAAGCAAAGTTGGGTGTTTTACTAGCCAGTTATGCTGAGGTATTTGTCCTTGAAGATGAAGATCTTGGTTATACTAACAAGGTCCAGCATGAGATCCACCTAGTGGATGACATACCATGGAAACAGCCATATCGCCAGATTCCGCCAAACCAGTACAAAGAGGTTAGGGAGCACATAACCAAACTTTTGAAGAAAGGGGTGATACAGGAGAGCATCAGCTCTTAATGCTTCGCCAATAGTCCTTGTCAGGAAAACAGATGAAACCCTCAGATTGTGTGTGGATTATAGGAAGCTTAATACAAAGACCAAGCGTGATGCTTTCCCGTAACCACGCATTGATGAAAGTTTTGACGCACTCTGCAGTGCCAAGTTCTTCTCGACGATCGATCTAGCCAGTGGTTACCATCAAGTCGCTATGCATGAAAGGGACAGACAAAAAACTGCATTTTCAACCCCCTTTGGGTTGTACGAGTACCTGAGGATGCCTTTTGGGGTCTGTAATGGTCCTGCTACGTTACAAAGATTGATGCAAGCTATCATGCATGACCTTGTGTTCCAGATCTTGCTAGTCTACCTTGATGATATCTTGGTGTTCTCTCCGGATTTTGGTGGCCATCTAGAAAGGCTAGAGACAGTACTGAAGTGACTGAAGGAAACTGGGCTGAAGGTTAAGCTTGAAAAGTGCCATTTCCTCCAGTCAGAAGTGCGGTTCCTTGGCCATCAAATATCTGCAGATGGAATAGGTACGGATCCAGACAAGGTAGCGGCAGTAAGACAGTGGAAGGTACCCAGCACAGTCAAAGAGCTGCGGTCATTTACAGGCTTTTGCAGTTATTATAGAAGGTTTATAGAGGGTTTCTCCTCGATGTAGTCAACTCTTGTTTAAGAAAAGGAAATCCAACTAGATCCAAGCAACTTTTCAGCAGTTCACGGACAAAAGCGTTCATGTTCAAAAGTTCAGTTCAAAAGCACGTCAAGGTGCCCCGCTGTTAGGCTATGCTGACTTCATCCGCCCTTTCATTGTGGAAACTGATGCAGGTAGCCTTGGCTTAGGTGCAGTTCTCTCCCAACAGCAAGGAGATAGGAAAAGGGTGATCGCGTATGCTAGTAGGCGCCTTCGCAGTGCCGAAAAGAACGATAGGAACTACAGCAGCATGAAGTTAGAACTACTAGCCCTTAAGTGGGCTGTGGCAGAAAAATTTAGAGGTTACCTCCTGGGATCTAAATTCATCATTATAACGGACAACAACCCTTTGTGTCATCTTTCCACAGCAAACCTAGGTGCAATAGAGCAAAGGTGGGTGGCTCAGCTATCTGTTTTTGATTTTGAAATAAAGTACTGCCCAGGACGCTGCAACACTGCTGCTGATGCCCTCTCTAGGCAGCCATTTGCAGGGGAGCCTGAACTTGACCCTGATGATGTTGAATATGATGATTGTGTGGCTATCTGTAATGCTATAAGCAGAGGCACAGCCCTGGAGCCAGATTTGGTGGCAGCCGGTATGAAATGCTACAAAATAAGACAGATCCGTGTTTTGGAAACAGGAGTGGATAACTTGAACAAGTCACAGAGTAACACCCAAACTTTCTCAGGGTATACAAAGAAGGAGCTCCGTCGGTTTCAAGATGCTGATCCCTCTCTCAGTGCTTTCCGGATGTTCTGGAATCAGCAGAAAAAAACAGGGAATAAGGAGAGATCAAAGTTGCCTAAATCTACCTTGTCTTTGTTGAAACAGTGGCATTGGGTGCGAGAGCGTGATGGGCTTTTGTACAGGGTGATTGAAGATCCTCATGTTGGTGAATGTTTCCAACTCCTCCTGCCTGATTGTATGAAAGATCAAATATTGGAAAGTGTACATGACCAGATGGGTCATCAAGGAATTGAACGCACTCAGAATCTGTTGGGACAGAGATGCTTTTGGGTGGGCATGTACTGTATAATGATGTGGAACAGTGGGTCAAAAAGTGTCAAAGGTGTATCCTGACCAAAATGCCACAGCCAAAGATCCAGGCACCCATCAAACCATTTATAGCTACTAGGCCTTTAGAGGTTGTTGCTGTCCACTACACGGTCCTCGAGCCAGCCTCTGATGGGCGGGAGAATGTGTTGGTAGTTACTGACGTGTTTACCAAGTTTACACAGGCTTTCCCGACTCGTGATCAGAAGGCAGACACTACGGCGAAAGTCCTCCTGAAAGAATGGTTTATGAAATTTGGATGCCCTGAAAGGTTGCATAGTGACCAGGGAAAAACCTTTGAGAGTCAGGTAGTTGCAGAGCTGTGTAAACTTTACGGAGTGAAGAAAACACGCACCAGTCCTTTCCATCCTCAAGGAAACCCACACTGTGAACAGTTCAACAGGACCCTACATTACCTTTTACGCATGTTGCCTCCTGAGAAGAAGCGCCGTTGGCCAGAACATCTGCCGGAGTTAGTCTATGCCTACAATGTGACACCTCACGCTAGTACGGGATATTCGCATTACTTCCTTCTGTATGGAGTGCATCCTCACTTACCTGTTGATGCGTTACTGGGCCAGGAGGAGGTGCTGGATAAAAGACATGATTGGCTGGTGGTCCACCAGGAACGGTTGAACGAAGTACATGCCCGAGCTAAAGAGTACGCAGAACAAAAAGCTGTGGAAAGAGTTGCACTGCAAGAAGACAAAGTGTTCTGTCCCCCAGTTTGTGCAGGTCAGCTGGTTTATCTGAGACACTGACCGTTGGGCAGAAATAAGATACAGGATGCTTGGGGACC